TCGTATCCTATCTCTAAGGGTAAAGACACTCATCCACTTGAGCATCCTCATCTCTGCCACACTTAACTTAATATTATGCTTCATTTTTAATGGCCAACATTCAGCACCATAAAGCATTGCAGGCAAAGAAAACAAAATAACATAAAAGAAAATGACATGAATATACAATAGCTTGATATGTAAATTTATGTCCACATACAGGGAAAGGAAGGGTTGTCTAATATACTAATGATTATAATAGAAATGAGGGGCCATACAGTGCTAGTAGAGCTTTCACAAGAGCACCAAGAGAGGAATAAAAGAGAATAGAGAATTAAAGGAGGGAGAGGTTACAAACAAGAGAAGAAATATAACTTAATTTATATTATGACATCCTATGGGAAGATAAATAAAAGTAATAAAAATGACCCTCAAGCCCTTTGTGGATGATGGGATATATGGAAAGTGTTGTAGAAAGCTTTAAATAGATTTTGTTAATGAAATATCCAATCTCAAAAATAAGTGGAATGTTAAAAGTGAATGATCACAATTTTTTTTTTTTTCATATGGTACTTGGAGTTGGTGACTATTTGATGAATTTGTAGAGTTTGTGAGTGAAGAAATGGACCAAAATCACCATTGAATGAGCTAATAATGGGGCTTTTATTACCAAGCTTAGTTAGTTGATTTCCAGGTTTGCAATATTAATGATGGGTTAATAGGCTATAATGATGAGGGTGATCAAATGGTGTTAATGCATTGATGAGGTTGACATTACTTCATTTTTTTTTAAATTTTTTAGTAAAGACATCTTTATAACATTACTTCATTATGTTTTAATATATAAAGGAGCAAGAAAATCAAAGATTTTAGAAGGCGAAGTCAATAACGCCTTATTTTGGTATTGAATGAGAAATCATGGATTTGATATTTGGAATAATTAAGTAGCGATATACACCGCTTCAAGTGTACTTTATAACTAGTTGGATAATTCAAATATTATGGGGTTTTTCAAATGCTTGTTGAAATTTGTGTAATAGGCATTTTAGGAAGTTTTAGAACTTTTGGAAAGTACTTTGAGTGAGCAAAGCATCATCGTTGATATATCCATGAGATTCCTTCAATTTTTTTTGAGAAAATAGTCGAGAAAGACTCCCATTTCTTGTTCTTGAGAGATGCTTTTGGGGCACATCACTCGTATTGATAATATCGTAATGTGAGTTTTTTCTTTCATCTTATCATTTCTACAATGGACATGCAAATGACATAGATTGCATCAAATTCTTAGGAAATGTTTTGAATTTACACTATAGTTTTTGAGGGCCTCTTTTTAAAGACACTTTTATTTTTATGTATACACCAAGCTCCTTGCTTAATTAAGCCCCTTATTCATTTATATGATTTAATTGTTATAATATATATTATTTGGGTATGGTAACTAATTTCTTATAACTCTTTTTTAGATTCCTATCATACATGAAAATCAATATCCATCTTTTGTTGTATTATCTCTTTTAATCAATAAAATTTTTATATTGTTAAGAACAATGATCCAACAAATAAAATACGACAAAATGTACTATCAAGCGGATAAAAATGATGAGATTAAAAGAGGCAACAAAGCCCTAACTCAGGGAAAGTGAGAATGACACATTGTGCTAGATCCATTCAAAGGATTAGTTATTTATATGGGCATCAAAATGGACGAGCCAAGGGCCAAATACTAAGCATGGATGACTGACAAAAGAGGAATCATGAAGGGACCCTAGAGAGGAAATTTTAAGAGACAAAAAAAAAAAAAAAATGCAGACATTAATAGGTGAAGAGCAATATGGATCTTTAGGAGGAAACCATCCAAGGAAATTTGTAGCCAAAACATGCACAGACTAGTATCAAGCAAGTATGATGATGAAACCAAGAGAATATTGAAGAAATAAGTGAGGTAGCAAGGATGACTGGGAAAAAAGTATAAGAAATGATCCTTAATGATCTTTGATGTGATATTTTGTCTTTTATCTTATTAAGATTTAAAGGAATAATTTCATTGTTTTAGTAAGAAAGTAATAAATCATGTAATTTTTAGAAGGAATTTCATCTTTACTTGAATTGAAATTAAAAATATTATAATATGTGATAATAATTGTATATATGAAAGTAATAACTAGATGCTTCTATGAATTAATCACATAACATAAAAGTGGGAAAGGTTGGGGATCGAGAGTTGGATGGGGGTGTGATAAATAGTAAGACTTGTTTCATGAACGTAAGGAAAAAATATATGAGTGCATCTGTTATAAAAAATAATTATTCGATAAAATTTGATATATTAAATTGCATTGAACTTAATGAGTAAAGGATTTGTATTGTGAAAGAAATCATAATAAGAGAATTATAAGTTATAATCACACTTTACATTAAATTATTTGGCTAAATATTAGTTTTACTCCTAAACTTCGTAGCATTTAGGAGAATAAGAAACACCATTTATCATATTTTTAATCTTATAGTCACAATTCTTATTAATTTATAAGAGTTTTTGGTGAAAGTATGGCCATTTATTATTCATCACAAATAGTTATAGTTGCATTAAACATATATAGTCTCAATCCAAATAAAAATTATTAAATATTAAAAAAGTGACTAAATAGAAGGTCTATGCATTATAAGATTATTATTCAAAGAAAATTGATGATAGGCTGGGTAGTTGCTTTGTCCATTTTGTCGTGGTGCAGGTTTGTTTAATATATGTTTGGCCTTGCTCTCTTTTGATTGTGCTGAGACATGTTTTTTCATATTTCAATACCTATTTTGGGTGGCAGGTTTGTTTGCTATGTCTCGGATTTTAATTGTTGTCTCTCAATTTACCTCTTCATTTGTGCTCATTTATTACTATTATCTGTTATTATAATAGTTTTGCCTACTAGTCTAGTTGTTATGATGTTTATTTGGCTATCCTCTTCAGTTATGCTTGGTAGCTATAGCTCTTTCTTCGGTGTCTTTTCTAGGCTCTAGTAATCATCTTGGTTTTGTTGCTATCTCTTTTGTGTGTGTTTTTCTTTTCTCCTTGCAGGTTTAGAAAAATTCTGGCTAATCGAAAAAATTTTTGGTTGGTTTGTTGGATCTTAGCCTTATATAGGACCTTTTTGGGTGATGGCATGTTACCTCCCTTTAGTTTTAATTTATTGGCTTTTATTTTGTATTTAGACAGAGATCTTTAATTAACTCCTTAGGTTCTTTCTTTTTGGAATGTAGCTCTTTAAGCAACTAGTGAGATTTAGATTCCTTTTAAGGACCGTGTAACTTTTTTTTAGATGACATAAAATACTAATTTTTTCAAAAAGAAAAATTGATGATAGTTTAGCCATTACAAATTTAATTTATTTTGCAACCAGGGGTGATTTTACTATCTTGATCATTTACAAGGATTTTTGTGACCACATGATGATTGATCACACATAATTACGAATGATTAAAATAGCTTGAACCATTGCCCCCTTCATTTTTCATCTCTAAACAAAAAACATAAGATCTAAACCACCTAGCAACTGTGACTCTTTCCCCACAATCAATTTCACTCCATTGATGGTGGCAACTTTTGTGACTGCCACTATGACTATAATGTTCTTCTTTTTTATCCATCTTAAGATAGTCATGACCAATCAATCATTTGAATTGAACCTAGTGTTAAAGTACATGATTAATCTCATTCTTTCACGCATTGCATTCCAAGCTAAGTATTTATTTACCCTAGCGCTTTTCTCTAGATAATGGAGGTAAAAGACTCATCATTAAGGTGGAAAAGATTGTTTAAATATTTCAAGAAATTTAGATGCATTTTTTTAAGATGACTAATTGATGAGCCGATCGAAATGCTTATTAATTTCTCATGTTGAAAAAAAGAAATAAATTTTTTAGATGACCCTACTTGTCATATGTGATATGAACTTAATCATAGGCTTATAAAAATACTTTATGTAGGAAATAAACTCATTAAAGAAATTTATTGTATAACACCATTAACTCTTGAACTTAGCCATGATGTTAACATTTATACATGATATTTTATCAATGGATTAAAATTCCATACTTAGGATTATGATTATGGTAGAAGCATCATGAATAGGACAGATTATGTAAAACGATGTCTCATTAAGTTTAAATTTATGCCAAAATTATAAGAGTTGTAAGCCATTTATATTAATCACACAAGCTCAATAAATTTTTATAAAGCTTATCCCTGCAAAGAAAAACAAACGGGGAATAATGGGTAATTTTCAAAATTATTGCATGCATATTTGGTGGATCTATTAAATAATGATAACAAAAATAGTTGTTGTTATCAAAAAGGAAATTAAAATATTCTTAGCTTGAATTATGTTATATATATTATTTGAACTAAATGATTGATCAACAATATTAATACATAAATTAAAGGAATTCTTGAGAATTAAAGTGGATGTTTTCACATTAGAATTCTAGGAGGCTTTGTGCATTAGAAGAATAATAAAGCTTATAGCTAGCTACTTATCATTTAAAAAATTTCAAATATGTATGTAATTTTTCTTATGCATATTACTGAAGTAGTCTGATGATGTGATGGCTGGATAGAGGATTGTTACTCAGGCTCGTTGAGTTAGGATGGTGTATATAGAGTTAAATCCCTTACAGGTTGGAGATAAATTAGATATTTAAAATTAAGCTCTTTCAGTTTTTTCAAATATTAATTGTAAATTTAGACTATTTAGAGGAGCTTGCTACGATTTATATGTTTAGGTCGGCGCTATACACATAGGTTGTATAGGAAGAGTTTTTAACTCTCCATAAGTTTAACAATATTTTAGAAAAAAGTAATTAGTTATGAATGGCCCGTTAAGTACTTTTCAGCTACTCTACAAGCTGTTCATGAACTTTCCCAAAATTTTCAAAAAAAATAAATAAATAACTAAAGTTCAAAACTTTTTGAGCTAATATCTAAACTTGTAAAAAAAAAAAAAAAGGCATGTATATGTATGATATCATACCTCATAAAGCGATTATAGGCAGATGGGAGGCGGTGCTTCTTCTCCGGAGCTGCATTGATAAACATTACGTATATATAAAAGATGTATAACCTTAATTAAGACTAAGTTGTATTGCAGTTGATCTCATTAATAGATTATATATTACGTTTAACGACAAAGGGCACTGCTTTTGGGTTCATGTCTTCAGCAACTGTAGATGATGAAGAAGCTAGTGAATGTTGCCCTTTCCACAGAAAGTTGCATGGCCTCTGAAAAATTATTCAATACAAGAACAATTCTTTTGTCAGTTCAACAAAACTTTTCCTAACAATCAAGTGAAATTAATTAAAAACAATCATAAACATGCATGCTAATCGATATATATATATATATACGTAAATAATTAAATAAATAACGAATTTAGGAACTGAAAATAAACTAGCACCAAATAGCTATCGATCTCTGTATATATTAAAGCCTTAATTTTTTTTTTTAAAAAGAACAACTTAAATAACATCAATTAAGGCGAAATTTAAGTAAGTAAGAGAGTAGTGAACCTGAAGCAGCGTTTGATGATGATCAGAGCACAGTGTTTGGAACGGAGGTTTGGGATTGAGAAAGGAGAGGGAGTTGCAGTGGCCACACTTTACTGTCACAGTGTCTGTCATTCTCTTGCATGGAACTCCAACCTTAAAATTGATCAAGGAAACACATATACAAATGTATGTATAAACATGAAAATCTTCAAGAAAATTGTTATCAAGCATGTGATGACGCATTTATATTTGAAGGAGTCATGCATTTTGTACGCAACTATATATAATGATATATGTCTCTATTGGAATTCTTGAAACAAATCATTAATTCAAGGAAGAAGAGCAACAATAATGCTCATTATTTATATAAGATTAATGCTGAAGGGGATCTACTAGCATGCGGAGGACACTCCTAGACAGATAGAATAAGCTAGGAAGCGTGAAAGGCATAGGTAGGAAGTAGTTCTGTACTAATTAAGAAATGAACACATCTAGCTAGACGTATAGGTTGTTTTCATGAGAAGCTAGATCAAGTATAGCTAGCTAGCTAGAGATAACTTTACCGCGAGAACAGTGGTGCAGTAGGCACAGCGAACATAGCAAAGATGCTCTGAAGGAGATCCCAAGTCCATAATCAAGAGGTGGAGGAGGCTAGTAGTAGGAGGAGGAAGATGATGGATATTTGATAGTACTTGCTTAATTAAGGAGGAGAAGGATAATGATGAAGAAGATGAAGTGCTAGCTAGCTTGGTTTAGTAACTGTCGACTGAGATCTGGATGGAGATCGAGTTAGCCAAAATAAAATAAACATGTTAGTCATCAGTAGGGTTTTCATTCTTGTAATTATGCTCGACACATTGTCCCCCACAGCAAAACGCCACACCAACCGTACCACCAGTTACTATTCATCAAAATCCTCTCTCCGGTCCCTGCATATATATATATATAGATATTATATTTCAACGATGGATGCTGGGTAAAGCGAGTTCCTTTAGATTTTCGTCCAGTAATCATCATTTTTAAAATATACTAAATAATATTTTAATATATTATTATTCTAGTTATCTTTTAATCCAATTAAGTTAGAAAGTATATAGGCCGTTGTCACTTATGTAATGTTCTGAATACTAATTATTCTAAAAGCAACTACAGTTCCAGCTCATTAATTTGATCGTATTATTTTTTTTTACTATCATTTTTATTGTACTTTAATTTTTAATCTTGATCAATGTGGAAAAGCTCGTCTTTTCCAATGTGTTCGAATTTTTCTCCTTCAATTCTTTATATTTTTATATATATATATATCATAATACTATCCTACATTTACAATTCGCTGTCAAACATTATAAAGTCCTTTTATTCTTCCTCATAACTCATTTGTACTTGAGAGCAATTAGAATAATTTGTGCAATTTTATTTTTATCACAGGCAAATCATACACTTATACAGGCATCTGTATTGCATCTATACATGGTTAGAATTTCATTTTACTTGTCCATTTAGAAGAAAAAACCTACAAGTTTTTTTTTATTAAAAGTCAAAGAGGGGTCTACGCATCGATTAGGAGAAAAGTTATAGGTCCTTAAGAGATCAAATGCTCTCTAAAACACAAAAATGTACATTCACAATAAAATAAACTTGATGAGCCAATGATTCCATCAAAATTTCTAGATAGAAAATAAAAAGCAAAAGGGATGAAGAAGCCAACCCTCAAAAAAGCATCCCGACGAAATCTTCAATGAATTAAACATTGATTATCCGCAAAAAGGAGATAATTTTATATATACCCAATCCATTGATAATGCTAAGGTATCTAGTTTTATTATTAATGGCTACTGGAATGTGACAAAGCTGTTGGAGGTTATTCCTTCCAATTTAATTGACATTATTTTGCATGTTGGTTCCTTTAGATTTACAATGCAAGGATAAAATCCTTTTCACTCTTTCTTCTTATGGTAAATTTCAAATGTAAAAGGTTTGGGATACTTACAGAATTAAGTATAATTCTTCTCTTAGAGAAAAAGGTGAAAAAATAGATGTTGCGCTCTGCTCCTCGGGCAACTCTCAGGCGATCTAGGGTTTCTCGCGGTTGGCTTCGGCTGGGAGCTTTCTCTGGTTACTCCAGTGGATTTCTTTGGTGTTTTCTTTCTTGTTCTTCGCCTTTTTGTTTTTCTTTACGGTTTTGGCTTTCTGTGTTGATTTTCCCTTCGTTTATCTGTTTTTTGGATGACGACGGCTCAGTCGTCATCTTCCCCACCGCCTACAGTGGTCCCTAATGGCAAGACTCGTTCGTTTAAGGATGTTCTTGCGAGATCATCCTCTGCTTCTTCAAATCTGAAATTTGTGCAAACTTCTTTTAAAGGTTGTCCGGCTCTTATGTTCGATGACTCTGTGGTTTCTATGCTTGCCGCTCCTTTTTCTCTTACGTAGGTTGGCAAATTTACTCTTAGGCGCCCTAATCTTGACATCATAAGAAAATTTTTTCTGAATCTTAAGCTTTCGGGCTCATTCCATATTGGTCTGCTTGATCCGAGGCATATTGCCATTCAGCTGAGTAACGATCTGGACTACAGTCGTATTTTCTCGAGGAGATCTTATTACATCCAAGCATGTCAAATGCGCATCCAAAAATGGACGCATTAGTTTGATGTCAGGGAAGAATCGTTGATTGCTCCTAATTTAAGGCTCCATTTCTTTAATTCGCAAATACTTTTTGGTATGGCTTCTCTTTTTGGTAGGCCATTGCAAACCGATCAGGCTACGACCTCTATTTCCCTTCCCTCTGTGAAGCGGGTTCTGGTGGAACTTGATATCTCAAAAAAACATCCTTATGAAATTTGGTTAGGATCGAAATTGAATGGGTATTTTCAGAAAATTGAATTTTAAAACTTGCCTATTTTTTGTAATCATTGTAGGATGCATGGTCACAATATGGCGGAATGTTTTAAGCTTCACCCAAATTTGAAGAAGGAAAGAGTTAAGCTCAAAGCGGATTCTGTCCCGGCTGTAAACGTTATTCCTACGATTAGGAATAATGAGGATCAACATTTGAGCGAGGATGGAAATCGTGATTGTGACTTGGTTCTTCACGTTGAGCCGATGGAGCATTTGCATACTGAGCAACATTTACCGGAAATATCTTCTAACCTAGTTGGGGAAATGCAATCTAACCCAGTTGGGGAAATGCAATCTAATCCAGTAGGAGAATTGCAATCCGATAGTATCTTAATCTCTCACATATCTTCTCCTATCTGTATTTCTAAAGAAAATTTAGTTGATAACATACCTATTCTTACTAATGACATTGAAATGCCTATTTCTGTTTCTTCCAAGGAGCATGATAAGGATACGGTGATGGATACTAATGGAGACATTAGTTTGGAGGTTGTTTTACCCATTGAGAAAATGCCGGATATACATAATGAGAATACTACTTCATTCTCGGGGAAGAGTGTATTTTTGCGGATGCTAAATTGTCAAGTGGCATGGTAAGGAACTCTCAGGTATGATGAATGATAGTAATTTTTATTCGCTACAGGAAACCTGCCCATTACCGGCAGAGTTCCGGCGGAATTGTTTCCGGTGGTCTTTCCGGCGCATTTCCGACGGATAAAGGTCAAATTTTTTCGACTAATTTTTTCGACAGAATTTCCGGCGAATTTTCCGGCTGATTTTTTCCGGCAGAGTTTCCGGCGGATTTAAAATTTTATGGAAATAAATAATTTGATAAATTATTATAAGCGGCGTTCGCGCCGGCGGAGCGGTTCGCTCGCTGGAAGGGGCGGTTCGCGCGCTCCTCTCTGGAGGGGCGGCGGGGGGTTCGCGCGCAGGCGGAGCGGCGGCGGGAGAGGAGTTCGCGCTCTGGTTGCGCGCACGTGCAGGCGGGGTTCGGAGCGGCGGGGTTCGAAGTGGGCCCGGGCGCGGGTTTGTTTTCTGGCGGATTTTTTTGGCTGAAAAAACATTTCAGCGATTTTATTACTATGGAAAAAGTTTCCGACGCTTGATTTTCCGGCAAACAAAATTTCGCCGGAAATCTGTCGGAAACTTTAAAAATCTGTCGGAAACTATCAAATATTCCGCCGAAAAGAAGAGATTTTCCTGTAGTGATTCAAATGATTCTTATCTAAGTGATGCTTATACTGATACGGATGAGGTTCAAATGTTGGCAAAATGTTTTGCTAGAGATGATAATGATTTAAGTTTCTCTAAGAGTCGTGGTAAGAAAGGTAGAAAATTGAAGCCTGTTATTATACAATCGCCTAGAAACACTCGCTCACATACTTCCCACTAATCTTTGTTTTTATGTTTAATGTCATTATTTGGAATGTGCGGGGGGTGGGTTGCCCCTCTTATAGGGCTCGAGTTAAAAACTTATGTCGTATTCATAATATTGCTATTCTTGTGTTATTGGAACCTCTTATTTCTAGTGATAAACTGCTTACTACTGCTAAATTTTTAGGTTTTAAACACGCTGCCTCTAATGTTGCTAATAAAATTTGGGTTTTTTGGAAAGAATTTATTAAAATTGATGTGATTGGGGATTTTACTCAAGTTATTCATTGCAATATTGAAAGCTCTACTTTTCATTATGTTGCTTCGTTTGTTTATGTTGCTTCTTCTCGCTATACTAGAAAGTTGTTATGGGATCAACTTTTGCAGTTTCATAATATTTGTAATATTCCAAGGATTGTGGGAGGGGATTTTAATACTATTGCTAACCCTTCTGAACGTATGGGGGGTTCTCTTCCCATCTTTCAGTCCATGGAGGATTTTAATGATATGATTATGGAATGTAATCTGATTGATATTGGTTTTACTGGCAATAATTTCACTTGGAATCGTGGTCATTTATGGAAAAGATTGGATAGAGTTTTATTTAATAATGCTTGGATCAATATTTTTGAGTCTACTCATATTGACCATTTGAGCAGGACTCTCTCGGATCATGCCCCGCTTTTGATTAAGATTAATTTTAAACATAATTACTCTCCTTCTCAATTTAGATTTCAAAATATGTGGATTCTTCATGATTCATTTTTGGATGTGGTTAAAACTAATTGGCAAGCTCCTCTTATGCCTGATAATTCTATTAATGGTATGAATAGATTGTAGTTGAAACTTAAAAGATTGAAACAAGTCTTAAATTGGTGGAACCATCATGTCTTTAAAAATCTTTTCTCTAACATTCTTTGTGAGGAGAATAGAGTGAATTTTTGGGAAAAGTAAGTTCTTTTATGTCCTTCTGATCCTAATATTTCGATTCTTCAGGAGGCTAAGAGTGCTCTCATTAAATTGCAATTGCAAGAGGAAACTTTTTGAAAACAAAAAGCGACTTTTAAACATTTGGTGGACGAGGATAACAACACTAAGTATTTTCATGCTTTAGTTAAAAAAAATCGTGCTAAGAATACTATTTGCAAGATTTAAAGAGATGATGGTTATATTACTGAAGATCATGATGAGATTGCGGTCCTGGCTGTTAATCATTTCAAAAACCATCTTAACAAAGTCTTTATTCCGTCTTCTATTAATAATCCTCAGATCATTCCTAAGATTATTTCGAATGATGATAATAGGGGGTTGACTATTCTTCCCTCTCTTGATGAAGTTAAGAATACTGTGTTTGGGATGAAGTGCTGGCCGATTATTTATGAGGATGTTTTTGTGGCTGTTACTGATTTCTTTAACGGTGGTGTGATTCCTAAATTCTTTACTGCTACTTCTATAGTGTTGATTCCCAAAAATAACTTGGTGGAATCTTGGAATGACTTTAGACCTATTAG